AATAGAACAATTTGCCGAAACGGAATCCGTTTACATAGGTCACAGCAGAAAACACATTTATACTTATTATACTATTTTTGCTTCGATACAAAACAAATACATTTTCCGAGATACCTGAACCAGGATTATAAACAAATAATACCCACGGCGTAGACCACAGAACTGTTGTGTTCATCATCCGACCTCAACAATCAAGCGGACTGATGAGTCATATTATTTCTGTACAACATTTAGCATTTTGCACCATGATCAAGTCGAAAATGAATTTGCCGTTTTTTATCGCGCTATTCCCAGTCGGTTATTATTTCATCGGATTGCATTCATATTACGATTATATTGTTAATCGTTTGAAACGTCGGTTAACAAATAATAACGTCGGTGGTGCACCCCAATAATCGCTATTGTTGCTTCTAGTCGCGCGTACGCTGATAGTACGTACACGAGTCGTAAAGTATTTTATCGCGAATCCATACGAAATTACTTCGCCGTGAACACGAAAAATGCAAACGCAGACATTTTTACGAGTCAAAACGAAGTGCGACGTTTACGTATAGTTCGTAGCACGAAAACCAAGATATCGCTGCAATTTCAATTATCCGCACATATGCGTTTGCTCGGTTCGCTGCGTCGTAAATATAGAACAACTAATCGACGAGTGTTAAAAAAAAAAAAAACCCCGTGCCTTACGATCATCGCACACGAGATACCAGCCATGTCTCTAGGAATTGTGTACACGTGCACTGCGGTTTCATTGTCATTGTTTGCTTTCTGGCCCGATTACATTGGATTCCATTGTTACGATTGCATCGTCAACTCGTATTGTTTGACATTGATTTGAAAAAAAATAATTATACGTACACAAAAAAGAATCAAAAAACGATGACTGTGCTGTGTACTGCGCAACTATTATAAATTTGTGCTTATTTTAACGTTCAATAATGTTTGAACGTGATATTTATGGCAGTCGAAGTGATATGTAAATGCGCTATCGTAACGAAAGCCGTTTAACGTACGTAAATGTTATCGAATTATTATTCATTATAGTTAATTACCGTATATCATAATTCGATAATAATAACGCAACGTTAATTATTTTATCACTCGTTTATTGCCGTACTTCCCCGGACCGTTTACTTCACTCTATAACATATCGTTCTCAATTTACCAAGCGTAGTCAGATCCTTACCCTAGAACACGGAACCTCTAACCCGCGACTCGCCTTGTCCTCATTCAAGACCCGCGAAGACACATTTCAAACATGACGTGTTTATTTTTTTTATATTTCGATCTAATCGAAACGATAATAAGACGTCGATGAAAACTTATGGTGTTGGACTCGTATGTCCTTCAACGGTAAAACTGAATTTCGGTGTGAAATACGCCTGTGAAAAATCCCGCGAAAACTAAATAATTGGCGATTTAAAAACTAAACTTTACGATAAAAATAAGTAAATATAATTCGTGATTCAAACAATGTCTGCCGAGAAACGTTAAACAGTTGATTCGCGTTTGAAATAAATATTTATTCTGTTTCGTTACGGATGCGAGATTTATTGCAAACGATAAGCGGCCCGCTGCCCTCAAGGGATTGATTAGTAATTAGATTAATAACGAGATAAAACCGGTAAATTAATATTCAGGTAACGCCCGTGCCAATTTTATGATCCCGGCCGAGAGAATTCTGGAACTTTACGCGCGTATTATCCGTACGACGACGACAGTTCTTCCGATTCCGGTACGTGCAGATGCACACCTGCGGAGCACCCGAACGCGCACGTACACCACGTTCCGCGGCGTGATAATATTGCGTGTAACGTATCCGCGTCCGGACCCTTTTCCTGCGAAAAAGCGCTTTTTACGCGTCCGCCGAGACCATTTGGCTCGCGCTTAAAATTGAACGTCGTTAGCGCCGCGCGTACCGTTCCCGTAACAATAATATATTCCGAACGACTTGCACTTAAAAACTTTTCGTCCGGCCGGCACGTTTACGCCGCGCACGCGCACGCGAATAACGGTACGAAATATACGACACCATCACGGCGATGCCGGTGGCGTTCGATGTTCCGCTCCGAGCCCTGACCAGCTGCTTCATCCCGTGTGCCGTAATCGTACACGATTTAACGTTCGAAAACTTTGCCCGCGAGCCGCGACGACCGAATATCACGGGTAATCCGAACGCGCAGCGGAAACCGTGTTAATCCAACTTTTGTAATCCGTTGAATTTTCAACCGATCCCGCCGCACCGCCCGCCGTATTTTTATTTTTTTTTTTCTTATCATTCCGCGGTATCGTTACGTCACGGGGTCTCTACCGTTCGAAACATCGTGCAGCCATCGGCCCCGTCACGCTCCGGTGGAGAATTTTTCGGATCGGCCGACTACCGTTTCCCGTTTCGAAACCGAGTAGCCTGCCCGGGGCCGATAGAATCGACTGCTGCGGTATCGTCGTAGTAATAAGCGTGCGTACGGGGTAGTCGGGATGGGCACTTGACTACTCTGCGAACATTCCCTCGCTCACCGAAACGTTCAATATCATCGCGACAATCAATAACCGCAATTGCGTTCAACCGCTCCGAAACGTCCGTATACGGTAAACACGTACGCGCAAGAATATTGGAAAAATATAATTATTAAGTTCAATGAAGTTACCCCGTCCAAATCTGTTGTTAACATTAAATGTTTATCTGCACGTATGTTACCCTAACTACTCTGGCACTAACGTCTGCGCCCACGCTTGTGGTGTGCTTACCGGTTCGAAAGAACGTCTGTGAATTCGGCTTACTGACCATTCGGTGGTCGCACGCATTCGATACCGGTTACCGGCACAACTAAATAGGCAAAATGACATTTTGCTATTCGCAGCGAAAATAAACATTTAAAAAAAAAAAAAAAAAAAACTGACGGGCAAACTTCACAATTTGAAAACATCACGTGCAAACTTGGCGAAATAATTGACGCGAACAATTGTTGTTTTCACGCGTAGTCTTCGGAACGCGCTGCGCATTTTTTTCCCAGTTCGATTCCAACACACCGATGGCTACTGTTTTGATAATTTTTATTTGGCATTCGGTCTCTGACGTCAGGCCAACAGTCGATTCGAAGTTATTTTGTTTTCGTTGTTTCCATTCCACAATTATTAATGTCACTTTTGGCACGTAATGCATAATATAAATCGTGTATTTTATGGCCTCGGTCCCCTCGTCATCAAGCGAATATTCGAACCGTCGATTTACTACTGATATTATCAAGCAATAAAAACGCATGTAACTAACTACGTCGCAATCGTTCGGTTAATGAATATTTAATTTCCTTTGTCAGTTTAACAACAAATGAACCAACAAGAAACACAAATTATATTGAATCGCTAAAAGAAAAAAATTTGAACAACGTTCGCTTTCTGTTAAGTTTCCACTTCAATTATAACGTGAAACTTTCACATTCACACTTTCGTCTCGTTTTTGGCGCTCGCGAGTCGTTTAAGTTCTATTGGATTATCTCCTGAAAAGTACTAAGTACAATATATATATATACGCAATACATAGCTTTTCAGCCAGCCATAATAATAATTGCCACTTGAACTGTTTTAATTAAGGTTATATTTTGGTAAAAACCTTTTGTAACACTTGAGAAAAGCTGATACAATTAACTTTCACGAACCCAACATTTACCAAAGCAAAAGTGCAATTGATATACACGAACAATATTAATTACATCGTTGGGGTTACGATGCGGCCGAGTTGTAATTATGTTATTTTATTCGAAGTCTGGTGACATCCAACACACGGATGGGTGTACTACAATGGATACAATGGACGAGAACACATAACTGTAAAGTATATAATATTATAATATTGTATAGGATTATGCGATCGAGCGTAAATCTGAAAACGACATGAACTAAACTAACAATTGAAAATATACCGTGGTGATATCAAACTGGTGGAATACAATGGCTCTTTTTTGAATTTTTTGGTATGGAACATTTTTCAGCAAATTTCGGAGGATAAGGCCATGCGTGCACACTGTTCACCTATGCAGTGTATTTGTATTTAAAATAGACGGATATTCGTTTTTTAATACTATTTCGTTCACTTTCGACTTTGTTCGACCTCGCAGATTTATCAACGAGTAGGAGGGTACGACTCGTCACGTGCACCACAGCGAGCAGTGGTCAACAGGGGCGTGATTAAAAATATATTACGAGAGAAAATATCAAACCAACAACTATTCATTTAAATTACTAAAAAAAAAAAAAAAAAAAAAAAAACCACACAGTTGTAAAATCATAACAGTGTACCGTGCCACGACGCGCGCCTCGGCACCGTACGCAGTACCAGTACGCGCACCTGTTCAATTTACAGTAGTTGGTCATTGGAGTTATCTGAAAATTTAATTTTAAAACCATATCGTTTTAACTCGCTGCTGCAGAACGTGACCCACTGTCTGCATGTATTTCGCTCGCAGAGTAAAATCAACGGTGTACCCAGATGCAGTGAAAACATTTCAAAACATTGGTTGCAGTCAACAAATCTGTGTTCGCGCTTCCGGTTCGCACAAGATAGGCAGCGTAACGCGTACGTCGCACGAGGTCACGTTATCTATCACATCCGTTTTCGCCGTCCCCCTGTGAACACGCCGAGTCGCTCGAAACGGGTTTGTTTCGGCGCACAGTCTCTACACGAACCGTAGCAGTGGTTCGCACATCGACCGGGTTGGACGGACACAACGGAACGAACGGTTTTTGGAAATCGATCGCTACGACAACGGAAAAACAATAACGATCGGCCCCCGGGCGGAGACACGCGCACGGTGGCCGCGACGATCGACGGATCCAGGTCTACGCGGTCGGCACCGCCGTGCCGAGGGAAGAAGTACCGAAACCCTTCGCCCTAGCCCGGCTCGACGGTTCCGACACGGGTCCGTCGAACAGCACCGGCCGTTCGAGGACTTCCTGCGGGGTGGAAAAAAAAAAAAAAAAAAAAAAAAAAAACGAACAATACGTGCAGCAAAAACAACAACGATCGTATATTGAAGCGAAAAACGATCGTGTACATGAATTGTTCGCGCGCGGTCAAACGTGCGCGCGGAGACACGCGACGGTCGCGATCAGCACCGGAACGGAGTCGACGGACGAGACGCGTCGGCCGCCGGCGGTCTGCGGTGGTGGATTGCCGGCGTCCTGCAACTTGTCCGCGTTCAGTATAACTATCCGGCCGTCCACTTCCGGTCGTAACGGCGACATGACTTTGACGTCTTCTTCGACGATTTCGAGATCGGTAGCACCTGCACGCACGCGTACACGAACGCCCGATGAGACTAGTCCTTGGAAGCGGCTTTCGACCGGTTGGACGGTGTGAGGAATGGTGGGGAGGGGTTCGACGACAAGCTCGACGACGGGGTCGTGGTAAAACGGGTCTCTCGTTGGGCGTGTATCCGAATCGGGTCCCGAATAATATTTATCGGTGCTCGACTTGGAAAAATTTACAAAAGGGTCACCCTATTTACTTTAACAAAAATAGAGTGCCCAAAACTTGTTAAGCGTTATAATTATAGCATTGTAACGGTAGGAGGACGCTTACATTTCTTAACATTAGTTGGGGTACTCCGTCCCCCTGCGCCCCCCCTCCCTACCATCGAGTTAAGAACTGATATTTATGATAAACATAAACAGATTATTGGATCCTATTACAAAAACGATAATATACGAGTTCGGTCCGACTGTAAAATACCGTAACATATTACGACGGTAAAACCTGTAACTTGACACGCTTAATAATGATACAATTGTAATAGATTTAAGTTTGTCAAAAATTTATCATTTAAATGTTTACTAATTGTAAATTTTCAAATTGTTCAATCGTTTTATTTATTTATTTACCATATACCGGTATTCTAATTTTCAATTAATAATTATAAATCATGTATAAGAAACTTAAAAAAAAAAAAAAATCATACCGGTGTTATAATTTATAGATAACTGACAGTCCTAAGTCTGTGAAAACGAGAAGGGTAATATTTTTTTTTTTTTGTAGGCCCGACTAGAGTTTTATTTGTAAAACCATGGGACCCAACTGGTGCACTACCTGAAAAACACTGGGACCCAACTAGACTAAATAAGGGTCTTTAGAACCCAATTGGTGAACGCCGGACGAGTTAGTTGTTCTGATATCGTTGATACGATTCATTAAGCGTATGCTCACCGGTCGTGCACGAGTTAACTATCGGTGTTCGCGAGAGTTCCAATTTTAAGAAAACGTATAATATGATTTGATCTTTGAATATAAGTTGAGTTCAAAGTTAAAATATCATCTTGTAGGCGATGTAAAACGTTTCTGAGAGTTCGAAAGAATATATTGTTCAAGCATACGAAAAGGGTGAGTGAGCATACCTAATAGAAAATCATCCGGTATATCAAACAAACAGGTTGAAGGGACGAGGGGGAAAAAGGGGTTAGCAAAAGGTCGAAAACCACTAGTTCGCAGCGTACCGATTCGTAATACCGGGTGGACACTTACCGAAACTCCGAAAGCCGACCACTTGCTGGAACTTGTGACCATCGCCGCCGTACGCCAAATAATGGGACATGATGACGGTGTAGTTGCCGTTCAGGTCCAATTTCTCGTAGATCGGCACCACGCAGTTCCCGCACCTAGCGTACACGGATTGCACACGTTTTCCGGGGGGCTGCCCGAGGTCCACGACAACCTTTAACCCTGTCAAAACACGCACGTATACACGACAGTTACCACGAATTCATGTTCAGGACATTCGGAATACGTACTCGGAGCAGTGTTGCAATATTGTTAAATGGTTAGTGGAAGTGGTCGCGGCGCGCGTAAAACGGAAAAGCAGATTAAATCGTGTACGTATTTGATTTTGAAACGAAATAAATCGTAAATCGTATAATATACTGTGTAATCGCGACGTACTTTGCGTTCCGTAATAAGACCGGCTAAAGTGACGTTCACCGATACCTGGACACCGGAGGGGGTTTCAAATCGGAACTCTTAAATTTACAAATCGGACGAGCCGATCGAAATGAAACTAAAATATCTACTGAAAAATTTGATTCTTCCCAAACGTTTCGGTAATCCACCGTGTAAGCACGTCGCTGCGGATGTTGATCATTTTACATGCATTATTTACTATCTCTTAGCTCGTTGTCCGCATAGATTATTGCGATAAAATACAATGCCGATAGCTGCGATGGTTGTTGTGTCGCATTCGAATACATACCTGACACTTGTAGAAATTCGCCGTACCCAATGTCGGCACTGTACCGCCGGAAAGCAAATTCGAAAGCGTTCCAAATATCCGAACCCTTGATGGTAATTTTTCCCACAAGATTATTGAACGGAGTCGCCAACAGTAGATCGCTGTAGGTGATGTTACCTGAAACACGCCGGGGCTTCGTATAATGGTGCACCCCGAACGATATGAAAACAGTAGAGTACCGCGACAGCGCACGGACTACGAAAATCGCAATTCTCCCCCTTAAACCCGTCCGAATTTACCTTTCATGGACATCGGATTGAAGCTACTCCGTATCCCACCGCCCTGCATGATCGCTATAGGCGCGTCGGTCCAACGCTCCTTCAAGTCGAACGTTTTGATGTTCCGCCGTATGTTCTGCAAGCACCGTATTTATTTATTTACTTTTTTACACCATTCGAAATATCGTTTTGTTAAGATAATTATAATAATCTCGATCGATTTGAATCTACGCGAATGCAAACCGTAAGGTACTCACGAAATCGACAAACGAGTCGGTCAAGAAGTTGCCCATGTTGCACTCCGTGAGCCTGCAGTTCTCCGCATCGATTAAAACGCTCGTCGAACCTACCACGCGTGACATATTGCTCTCGATCATACGTTGGTAATAATTTATTTCCTCTAACATTTCAGCGTCTAAAAAAAAAAAAAAATCTTCGTATTATCATCTGAGCATCACGAACACTGGTTTTTTTCCCTACTAACTGATAAGGTTACTAAACACGTGATGCAGATAACATCAGTCATCCAGTAAATGGTAAATAATTAAATTCAAAGCGATGGTTTTCGTTTGAACAAACCCATCGTTCTCGTGTTACATACCTTGTTCGATACTCGAATCTAATAGAACCGGATTTCCGTAGCTTTTTATCAATTCTCCCTCCTCGTCGAATTCCAGCCATAATTTACCCAAGTATTTACTGATATGAAACGCTTGTACAACAGGAACCTTCCTTTTGGTATTCGTTTGTTGCACCCAAAAAGGATACGTACCTTGAGGAATGTCGATGTCCGGTTCTTTTCCTGGAAAAAATAAATAATCAGTACGTTACACTAAACATAATAAACGTATAAAACGTTTAAGGCCCGGGAGACGGGGGAAAAACATGTGTTTCGCACGGATAAATAATATTATAGGTTTGATATTCACCGTTGTACAAAAACGTATTGGTATGGCCGCCGATGACCAAATCGATATCATCCACTTGTTCGGCTATCTGCTTGTCCATATCGAATCCGGAATGACCCAGGGCTATGAGAATGTTCACCCCTTGGTTTTTCAGACGTCTTGCTTCGGCCGTGATTGATGGAATTTCCGGTAATATTTTCACATTTCCCGTTTTCGCAATACTCTTCACGGTACGAAAACATGTTATAATTAAATTTCAAGCTCGAAATTCCGTACGCGTTTCGAGTGCTTTATTTATACATTATACGTACCCGCGATATTTATGTGCCTACATTATATATATATAGAAATACTAAATACAATATGTGTGTACATTAATTGGCATTAATTACACGGAAAACATTGTGTTGTAGTTGTGCCGAGAAAGAAGAAAAAAACCGATTAACTATTCTGCACCGGTTAAACGAATTATTATTCCGTTCCGCTACCACGCCAAGACGATTCGAAGTATTTGTGTACCACGACTTCAAACTTCAACGGTTCACGCGTCGTATGTTTACTGTGGACGCGAATACGTCGTTAAAATCGTATTTATGTTAGATCCGTTTTGTATTCTTTTTCGCTAACCGTTGCAGGTTACAAATACCTCTCCAGCACACAACATTCAAACTATCTTCGGTAATAATAATATGATATAATATCGTCTCTCTCTCTCTCTCTCTCTGTTCCTCACCAACGCATATGCGTTTACCCGAACGCTTTGTCAATTGGAATGACGGCAATTATTTCTCGCTTTGCACACGAACTGCAACTGCTTGTTTTACAAGCAATCGCTGATTTCACGCGCACACGCGAATCGATGAACTGTATGGATATTAAATTGCAAAACGATATTACTGCAGTAGTGTACGATGACGAGACGCATCACGTGCAACTGACAGCGAATTTGTCATCGAAATCAATGAAATTGGGGAGGGGGGGAACGCAATTTTTCGAGTCGATTGCAACCACTTACCATTGTTTCCGGTAGCAGATATCCAATGATGCCGATCTTGCGACCGTTCACCGTCAACACTTTTGATTTCATCAGATTTGGTTCGTTGGCCATCGACGGCTCGCCGCTGAGGTCCAAGTTGCTGCACACCACGGGCACGGTTATGTTGTGCACGAACGATTGAGCATCTTTCACGCCGTTGTCGAACTCGTGATTTCCCAACGACTGAAACACATCCGAACGCAACGGTTTGCTTATCGTGTCGTCGCGGTACGGTGTTCCGGACACGTGCACGGACGTGCACGACTAGGGGTGCCAACTCTTATTTACAGATAAGCGGGAAACCAGATATTTATATGCGGGACTTGACATAAAAAAGCGGGACATGCTTACAAATTTACAGAAACAGGAGAAAATGATTTTAATAATTGTTATCAGTTGTGTTTCAGATTTAAAATATTCATATAACAGAATAATCGCTATTTTAAAGTAATCATCACAAGTTTTTTTTTTTTTTTAACACAAATTAGTAAATAAAGCACTTTTCCCAATTAAGGGTACCCTATCATCATGAGACAATTATTTTTTCTTTTCGAAAAAGTACTTGTGTACTGAATACTGAATTGAATCTTTAAATACTACCAATTTTTGATTAAACCGGTACGTGCAATCGGCTCTATTGGAATTTCGGACGGAAAATAGTTTTAAATGCGCACAGTAAAAATATAAGGCTTCTGTATAAAAATACTTATACAGGCATACAAAGAGCGGAACAATGAGCGTCCCGCAGATACGCATCGCGGGACGCATTATTTGAGCCCTGGAAACGGGACGTCCCGCCTCTCGCGGGACAGTTGGCAACCCTATGCACGACCATTGCTGCGACGTAACGCGAATCAAAGTTTCGATCGCTTTTCATCGCAGGCAACGGTCGTGGTAATGGTCGAAACGCGACCGCGCGATTCACGCTGAACGTCGTACGTTTTAATACCGTTTTAATAATACGTTATCGACTCCTACCCGTTTGGTCCGGGGACGTGCGTAACCGGTGCTCGTCCGTTATCTGCGGTTAACATATTTTTAACATTTATGCGATGCTCGATACGGTGACGGCGTGACGGGGAAGTTCATGCGAGGCCGTTGCAACCGCACAGGGATCCTTCGGACAGACGGGTATACCGAGATCGGGGCCGGCGATAAAAAACATTGACCGTGGGTGGGGGGGGGGGGGGAATGCGTTATGGATATACGAATTTGCCGACTAATTTCTAAAACGAAATCCTATACACCACTGATTGTTGATGATTACCAACTGTACACATAAGCCGTTCGCAGGCGCGGGGATTTTGTACCCACTCCCAGGGCGGCAATGCGGTATTGACAATGATGTGCATTGTCGGTCGCTGCGAGATACAGATATCGGTAAGGGTGGAAACCCAAAACTTACCCACTCGACGTCCCATCGAACAGGTGACCGGATTTTTCAGTCCGGTTAATCGCCAAAGAACATGAATAATTTCGTTTTCTAATCCGACATACAGCTTTTATAATTTCATCAAAAAAACAAAAATGTTCACCACCGCAACTCTGTACGCAAATATACGATATACATGTTACCGTCATTATCGGTAATCCCGACAATGACGGTAATGACTAGGCAATATCAGTAATGCCGATGCACGCCAGTCACTGTGGGCAATCGGTGTATATTTCCGTAATCGACTGATAAGTCAATGTTTTTCATTTGTGTTGCAGTAGTTATTCCTATTGGTAACACCGAGTTGCGATTAGGGCGGATTTATCATAAAATTGGCCATAACTGGCTTGAATTACATTTTGCAATTGGTAAACCATCAATCCCAATAACAATTTTAATAATATCAATATTACTCATGGAATTTATTTTAAAATAATTTTGAATAGTATTACCCAAACAAAAACGATAATATTGACGTGGTTTTACTATAGTTAGTATAATTTTCTGTCTCATTCGTGGTTCTTGTTTGCAGTATAGTACTATAGACAACGGATGATTTCCATGTTTTCTATGTCTAACAATTCCATGCGACGAAAATTTTCTTGATTCGAAAGAAACGAGAAATTCAGCGAAAAAAAAGGAAATCACTTTCCGGGGGGGCTGCCGGTCATAACAGTATTGCTGGGAGTCAGGGATATCAAAGGTGTCATTGTAAAACAAAACGTCAAAATAATTGATGTGCTTGCCGTGCAGCTAAAACATTATGAAATCCGAAGTGCCATAGTAGTTTATCTAGTGGAAATGAATAATGACCATAATAATCATACACGGTTCTGTCGATTTCGATCATATTTTAATAAATAAATGAAATATCACCCACATTGACTATCAACCGTAGGCATTTCATATATTGCCTAGACATTGTCAGCATCGCCTTACTTAATTAGCCACTGTTAATATTGACTAGTAATTACTGATAATGACCGATTTCCGGCATATAACGTGTATATATGTGTGTGTGTGTGTGTGTGTGTGCAACTACAGGAGTGTGTAGGTTGTATCGAATTGCAATCGCAATAGCGATCATTGTCATTTGATCGTGTTCCAAATTAAAGCCGTGTGCTGAAACGCGTCCGACTTCTTCGCGCGAAGACGATACGTAAGTACGCGAAAAGTGCGCATTCATGCGTTCCCGAAACGATAACAACTGCAGTTGAACGTGTTACTGCTAATCGTCTACGATGATCGCTATTCGCGTTGTACGCGTTACATAATATGTAAATACACGTATGCAGCGAAACACAACTGTACAGATACTTGGACGGTCTCCACTGGAGCTAAATGAACACGGATCGGATTCGTTCGGTGTGCTGTGCTTTGTACTATTTTTATCGCGCAAATTATTCACACATCAACCGTCGTCAGCGTAACGCACTGTTTTGAAAAAAACCATCGTCGCCCGACGCTGCGCCGCGGCGAACGACACGCGAAAGCGAACCGGCTAATAAGCATATTTCGTAATTACGGAACGATGATAACATTTACATATTAGTGGATTAAACGCGGCCGAGAAATCCGCGCACAACGTTTCGTATAATGATTTGAACCGAACGTTCACAGAATGTTGATTATCTGCATTATGTATGTTGTGCGTACGCAGTTGCGGTGCTTACGTAAACATTTCCATTCCGTACGTCGCCCCAATACGATTCGTTGTTAGTTATAACAAACACTAGACGTATTTTTTATTATTATTGCTCTGGACTCCGGACATAGTATTATGTTTGAGTTGAAGACGGCGTTTCGATGTATTCGATTTCGTCGCCGGTGAAAGGGATATGATAATTGAAAAAAAGCAACAGTTTACCGGTGAAAATGCTGATGTTGCTGTTCGTTGCGTCTCACAGTGTTTTAGGACCAATAATGCAGTAGAATAACGGGTCGAGTTCTTCCCATTTCATACTTTTGTTCTATAACTAAATAATGAATTTACTCAAACGGTAATTGCATATTGTTTGCTTCTACATATTTAAAACTTTATCTATTTATTTTTGTTAACATTTTATACAAAGCAAGATAAATTAAAAAAAAACTTCAAGTTTTTTATAAAAAAAAATAGTGTCAAATTCCATCATGGTGAACGTTACAAACATTTAACTTTTTTAATCTTGAAACATTTATTTTTTTACGTTTATTAAAATCTCCTTTTTCTCAATGCGATCGTTATATTCATAAATAATAGTAGACCGGTAATACGTTTGACACCGAAGACGTATAATGTTTATTTTTGTTTTTCCATAGCCATATCCCCAAGGCGTCATGGATCTGTAATCATGAGACCGAATTCGAAATGCCACGGTATCAACGTGTTCCTGCGACTTTATTCGTCACGTTTACTAAGTGCAAGCGCCCAGAGAAAAAGAAAGAAGTATGATGATGTAATGAATCGATTTGTGTAGAACGACGTTTTAGGAAAAAAACGATTTTCCCGTTCGAATCGAAAGCGGATCGGAAGGGAAACATGATTACGACCGAAAACCACACGAAAACGATAACAACTGATTACGGTGTGGAACAAAAAAAAAAAAAAAAAAAAAAGCGAAGAAGAATGCGGACAACAATCCGTTTGGCGAACGTTCGGGAACCGTTCGAACACGAAATGTTTGAAAATCGTAACGTTATAAATCCCGTCCTCCCGAGATTCGGGTGGAAAAAAAATTTCATCGAAACGACGGCGACGGTCGGTGGGGCGCGAGAGCTTTAGGCGTGTCGACGATGCCCGCGGCATCTTTTCGCCCGTCGAAATCGATTTCGATGATCGACAACGATCGCCGGTGAAAACGAAAAACACTCGAGCGAAAGCGTTTCCGCCGACGGTGCGTTACACGTATACAGTACGGTTACATGCGCGTACGATCGCGATGCAGTTTTGGTTCGCGACGGACGCGGAGAGTTAACGAGAACGAACGGCGCATAAAATAATACGTGAAACCGACGTTTCACGAGCAAACAAATCGCATCTCGCGTCGGCCCTTGCGAACGCGGTGCGCGGCGAAACAATCGAAGACCGCGTGTGTGTGTGTGTGTGTGTGCACACACTCGGGTTGGCTATTGATTTCCTTAGGACCGCAGTGAGATTATAACGGCGGCTCTCGTTCGTGTTCCGTACGCGCGACATTGGTTTTCGCGACCGTCGCGCAGGTCCCGCGATACGATTTCGGTGGTGCCCGCAGGGCCGTTCGGACGAAGGTCGGGCCAACCGGACCGTTTCGTCCCGGGCCCCATGGTTGGTCTGTTTTATCAGAGGGCCCCCGTTGGGTGTTGACGTATAACAGTCGATAATAGAAGAGCCCCGATCACACTGAGCGATTAAAGTCGCGCGCGTGTGAGCGTGTAGTGCGACTTGTCCGGTTGCGTTGACCGAATGGATTGTGAATAATACGAACAACATGCAATTATGTTGTGTGAGCGTGCAATGCAGCACACGGGTTTGAATGAGCTTGATCGGTTAAGGTTTGGGAGAATACGTTTGCAAGAATTTCGTTATTCCCAGTGAGTATTTTGTTAATCATATCTTATTATTACGGTCGAAAGCCCTCGAAATTAATTCGCCCCTGGCCTCGAAAAACCTTGGGACGGTCCTGAGTGCCCGCACGGGGTGTGTTCCACGAAACCCGGGATCCCGTTCGAATCGCGTCGGCAGTCCCCGAACGGTACGCAGATCGATGCGTAATTGTTGCCACGCCAA